GTGGACTTTAGGAGAGCAGGAGGACTAAAGCAATGTGAAACCAGCAGATTTGGAGCAGAAAGAATAGGCAGGTAATTTTCCCTTGAAGAAAGATGAATAATTCCAAAGAATGCTGGAAGATCACAAGTGTGGCCAGAAGGTTTCAGTGCTGTGTTGGAAGGTTTTTGTTAAAAAATCCATTCCAAAAAGGTCACATGAACTAGCAAGAGTGAGCACAGTCATTTTTTATACATCTTCCTGTTTGCCTTTCCTTCAGTTACATTAAAGTGGAAATTTTATAAAATTCTTAAGGAAGTAGCTCATCTTTTTTTTTTTTTCCCCCTGAGATTTGGACTCCAAATTTTTGTTTTGTTCTAATGTTCTAATTGTCAGGGATTACAAATGTTCTGTCTTGTTCCCTGTAAGGACTTCCATTTTCAAGTCCTGACTCAAAACTCCTTTGAGACAGAAATGAATCCACAAGGACTCCTCCTGATTTACCATTTCACAGAAGGAATTTTGATGCAAGTGAGAAAACTGGCTCCTCAAAAAGACAGTGAGCTTTATTTAAGCCCTCTGGGGCTTCCTTCCCCTATTGTGCTGCTTTGGAAAAAGATTCAGTATGTGGAGGTGTACCCTTAAACGTAGACCAGAGGTTACCTGTACAAATGTAGGCAGCCACCTGCTGGCCCTAAAGTGCTACATTTTTATGTTTAATTTAACAGGGACTGTATTAAGTATAGAATTCCTTTCAAATTGCTAATTCATATCTAACTAAATGTCACACTGGAAGACATATATTCATTAGGGAATACTGATTTTGCCAGGAATGATGTATGAGGCATAAAACCAGTCTCCTCCTCTCACTGTAATTCCTGTGGGCTGGCTCCTGAAGTCCTTAATCCGTAAATCACATTCACTGTAGAGTGTTTGACTCAAAGCAGAAAGGAACATAAACTTCTATGGCTCTGGGAAGAAACCTGAGGGTGGGATCCCAAGCCTCTTTTTGAGAGGATGAGCATTGCCCACCCTGTTCTAGCCTGGTCCCAGTGTGTGGAAAAAAGGAAGTCACCAATGATAGACAGTCCATGGTGGCATTTTAGCTTGATTAGTATGGAGATTACTTAAAAAATCAGTTTGTTCCCACTGTCCTCATTTTGCAGAGGTAGTGGAGATGGATGATTACCACAAATATCTCTGAACAGAGAGAGACATAGTTCTCCCAGGGTTTTCCTGGGAAGCTGTGAGAAAGCTCAGAGAAAGAATTAAAACAATTATTATTTCAATCTCTACACCTGGCAGGCAATCTCTGTTTGTCAAAATGTTTACAAGAAGGAGCTGTCCCTTCTTGACTGGTAGGTGAGAGAATATTCCTAAAAGCTATTCAGGTCTTAGATCCACCATTGTTTCTATAAGAACTGTGGATTTCTAATAATAAAGTACCTTTTAATGCCTTCTGATGATAGAATCTCTGTATCACTTTTGTCTGTCCCCGACACCCCTTCAGTCTTGCACTACCCAGACTGAGCTCCTTTCAGAGACATCACAGGATCATAGAATGAGTTGAAAGGCAATTTAAAGATCATTTAGTTCCTCCTCTGGTGCCATGGGCAGGGATGCCTTTCACTGGACCAGATTGCTCAAAGCTTCCTTCAGCCTGGCCTCGAACATTCCTAGGGATGGGGCATCCACAACTTCTTTGGGAAACCTGTACCAATGCCTCACTGCCCCCAACAGTAAAGAATTTCTTCCTAATACCTAATCTAAATCTACTCTCTTCCAGTTTGAAGTCATCCCCCCTTGTCCTGTCAGTACATCCTCTTGTAGAGTCTCTCTCCGTCTTTCCTCTAGGCTCTCTTCAGGTGCTGGAAGGTCACAATTAGATCATCCTGAAGCTTCTCCTCTCCAGGCTGAACATCCCCATTTCTCTCAGCCTTTCCTCACAGAAGAGCTGCTCCATCCCTCTGATCATCTTAGACCCCAGAGCTGATGCAGCCCTGCAGGTGGGCTCTCAGCAGAGCAGAGCAGAGGGGCAGAATCCCCTCCCTGGCCCTGCTGCCCATGCTGCTTTGGATGCAGCCCAGGGCACGTTTGGCTTTCTGGGCTGGGAGTGCCCATGGCTGGGTCATGTCCAGCCTCTCATCCCCCAGCACCCCCAAGTCCTTCTCCCCAGAGCTGCTGTGATCTGTTCATCCCCAGCCTGTGTTGGTGCTGGGGGTTCCCCGACACAGCTGCAGTGCCTTGCACTTGGTCTTGGCAAACGTTATGAAGTTCCCACCAGCCCAATTCTTGAGCTTATCCAGATCCCCCTAAATGGCATCCTGTCCTTCAGGTTTGTCAGCCACATCACTCAGCTTGGTGTCACTTGCAAATTTGCTGAGAGTGCACTTGATCCCTTTGACTATGTAATTAATAACCATATTAAATAAAACCATTCCCAATACAGAATGCTGAGGAACTCTACTTGTCACTGTTGGATTGCTGGGCTGTTTATTTTTCTCAGCTATGTTATTCCTCAGTCTTGATGTTTAGAAGTTCTCATACTTACACTGTGCCCATTACCCTGATGGAATTCAGTTCTGAGGCTTTTCCCTACTCCTCAGAGAATGATGTTCCAAGTATTTATCCACAGAAGGAACTCATGAATTCATAAGTAGGATCTGATCCTTTAAAATGGATCTGAGAGCTTCCCTTTCCTCAAACAGTGGCTGTTGCCTGATCTTGATGTTTACTTCCTGTGTCATCCAAGGCATAATCTTGAGTAACACCACTGTTGTCTTTGCTGACAACTAAGTAGAGAATCTAAGAGAAGACAATGGCTACTGAAGTCTTACCAACTAACACCACCCATTTGGCCTCAGAAAATCCTTTAGGCTGGGAAAACCCCAGAAACATCAAGTCCAGCCATTAACTTAGCCAGTAAACCCTATTCCTAAGCGCCATATCAACATGGATTTTAAATATCTCCAGGAGTGGGGAATTCAACCATGTCCCATGGGCAGCATGTTCCAATCTTTTACAACCATTTCTGTAGAGAAATTCTTCTTAATAACCATTCTAAACCTCCACTGGTGCAACTTGAGGCCATTTCTTGTCATCCTTCCAAGGAGAACAGACTCACCCCCAGCTGGCCACACCCTCCTTGCAGGTAGTTATACAGAGTGATAGGGTAACCCCTGAGCCTCCTCTTCTCCAGTATAAACAACCCCAGCTCCCTGAGCCACTCCTCACAGGACTCGTGTTTCAGCTTTTCACCAGCTCCGTTGTCCTTCTCTGGACACGCTTCAGCAATTCAGTGTCTTTTCTGTAGTGAGTGACAGGCCCAAAAGTAAACATAGGGTGGCCTCACCAGTGATGAGCACAGGGCAATGATCCCTTCCCTGGTCCTGCTGCCCACACTATTGCTGGCACAGGCCAGGATGCTGTTTGCTTTCTTGGCCACCTGGGCACATGCTGGCTCATGCTCAGCCCATGTTGACCTGCATCCTTGAGCTCTTTGCCTCAGGCACCTTTCCATACACTCACCCCCAGCCTGCAGCATTGCCTGGGGCTGTTGTTGGGTCCCCAGAGAGCAGTCCTGTGCCTCCTGCTCTGAGGGAGCCCATGTTCGCAGCACTCATGGACTGAATTACAGCAAAACAATGCCATGTGATTAATTAAAAAGCTTTATTTATGGTAGGAACGATCTAAGCCTTATGGTAAGTTGAAAGGTCTTTGGCAGCAATGATTTAAACTTTTCTGAACAGCACGTAACAATGGTGATTTTTGAACAGCCTGCAGCAGCAGTGATTCAAACTTTTAAGCAGAGAAAGAAAGAAAGAAAGAAAGAAAGAAAGAAAGAAAGAAAGAAAGAAAGAAAAGAAAAGAAAGGAGAGTTAGAAAAATAGACAGAGAAAACAGATCTGTGTTACCACCCAGGGCTCCATTACTGCCTCTGGTCTCTTTTCTCTGGATGGCAGGTGCATGGATGATGGATGCATACCCTCACCTCTCTCTGTTGCACTATTTATAGGCTAGTCCTTACATCTGCATCTTGTTATTCTCAAACTTTTTAGAAAGGGTTGGATGGTCTCATGGTTTCAAATTTGTTCTTAAAAATAGTTACCCAAGATAAGGAAGCTGGTCCCAGAGAAACACTATGCTGCCTCTGCAAGATCCTCTTTTCTAACCACATCTTGTCTAGTTGGCATGGTAACATTCCTTTTCTCTTCTGTCAAATATTTGAGACATTAGCTCTTTCAGGTTCACATTAAGTATTTCAGGTTTTCAGTCCCTCACACATTTGAAGGTCAGGACCAGGCCTTTGGCCTTGTTGAACCTCATGCCATTGGCCTTGGCCTATAGATCCTGCTGTCCAGATCCCTCTGCAGAGCCTTCTGATCCTTTGGCAGGCAAATCAACACTCCTGCCCAGCTTGGTGTCATCTGCAAACTGAGTAAGGGTGCACACAATTCCCCCATCCACATCATTGATAAAGATACCAAACAGGGCTAAACCCAATACTGAGCCCTGGGGAGCACCACTGGTGGCTGGGCCCCAGCTGGATCTAACTTCCTTCACCAACACTCTGGGGATCCAGCCATCCAAGCAGCTCTTTACACAGTAAAGAGAGCACCTGTCCAAGCCAGGAGTATCCAGTTTCTCAGGAGAAGGCTTTGGGAGATGGCATCAAAGGCATTACAAAAGTCCAGGTAGACACAGCCTTTCCTTCATCAACTAACCAGGTCACCTTGTCCTAGGAAACAGTCAGGTTGGTCAAGCAGGATCTGGGACCTGTGTTTCACAAACCCAGGCTGACTGGGCTTTATCCTCTGGTTGTCTCACACTTGTCTTACAATGACACTCCAGATGATCTGCTTCATGACTCCCCTGACACTGAGGTCAGGCTAACAGGCCTGTAGCTCCCCATATCCTCCTTCCAGCCTTTCCTATATACAGGGGTAATATTTGCTAACCTCCAGTCATTTGTGACCTCCTTGGTTAGTCAGGGCAGCTTGTAAATGATGGAGAGTGGCTTAGTGATGACTCCTTTCAGCTCTGGCAGTACCCATTCTGATGTAGAACTCACTGACTCCATCCCCTTCTTGTATCTACTGCCAGAAAACACTTCATCACCCAGGTAAAGTATTGCCTACCTGTGATCTGTTTCTTGGCTCTGGTACATACTGACTGTTTCAAACATGGAACTGGGCAGTGACTACCTTGGAAAAGACCCTCTCTGTTACTGGGTTCTCCCTGCCGCTGAGGATGCTAAATGTCTGTTGTGTTCCAGGTTGTCTTTTCTTGGTGCTTGTTAAAAACTACATTTGCTTCAGATTGCTGAAAACAGCGTGCCAAGTGGCTGGAACGTGTGTGACATCTACATGATGTTCTTGGTTATTTTTTACTTCTGAATTTCTGTTTTACCACTATACCTAATACTTTGCAATGTGAATTCTCTCTTCTTCTGCTTTACACAGACTTTTGAGAGCCTTGTGTATTTTGCTAAAATGTATCACTAATACAGTGTATTCAGAGGCTCAGGTTCCTGCCCACTCAGCATCACCACTTCTGAAGCAAAGAGCAATATTAATACTATAATAGCTCCTATATTGCCTGCTTCTCCTGGCTGATTGCCAGTGATCTAAACAGATCTGCACACCAGTGGAGAAGTACTTCTGACGTAAGAAAGTGAATTTGCTTGTGCCAGGCAGCAGACTCTCTGCCCTGTACCAAAGGATTTGGGCACTGAAATAGGTTCAGGATGTTGAATGTTGGATGGCCAAGTTTTCTTCTCAGTCTTGTGGTTCTGCAAGGTTGTCCTAGAGTTAAGTAGCACTATCCCTGTATCTTAAGTAGCTCTTTAAAAGCAATAGCTGAGAAAAAGCTGACTATCTGGCCATGCTGATGTTTCTTTGCCCAACTGATGTTTTGTTGTAAAACTGTTCTGATGTTACCTCCCCAGCCTGGGCTGAACTGGTGTCCAGCGTGTTGTCTGGGAAGGCTGCTCCCTCCTTTGTTTCCTATACACACTAGATAACCTGCTGTAATTATTGCCCTTTAAAAGGAGTTATGTCTTCTGGTGTAATTCCGCTGTAGAACAGAGTAAAGCCATTACCCTTGCTGGGTGGAAAGAAGGGGAAACCTGGCCTGGCTGCGGTTATCAAGAGCTGCCTCTGTTCCTTTTGCAGTGTCCATGTTTTAAAATGCAAAAGGCCAGTTAGTGTATCTCACTAACTGCTTGTATCATATCCAAACTTTCTTATCTTGTGGAGGTAAGAGCAAGTATTCATTTCTTTGTGCGTCCAGAAAAAAGAACATATTTTTTTCTGGAACAAGAAAGAAGTAATGAAATTATTCTTCACAGGAGAGATTACATAGCTCATGAAGTGTCGCCACAGAAACCTAAACCATCTGAAACGCATGTCAAGAGACATGAGAATATGGATTTGACCTCCATTTACTTACCTCCTCCTACACTATGTCTCAAGTATCTTCATGTCTCTCCTGGAGGATGAGGAGACATATCCCAGGACCAAGATGGATAGAAGAACCACTTACAAAGGTGAGCTGCCCTTGCAGCTTTGTTCAGGACTTCACAGATAACTTCACTTTTTAAGAAGACAGATCAAAACATTGTGCAGTTTATATTCCTTCTCTATATGTATGCTAATACGCTGTGCAGGAATCATGCAGACAGAAACATGTAGTTGGTAATACAGCACAGCATTAATGGTAGCATTGAGATCTCTCTGAATTCATCTCCTTTCCATACCTAACAGGCCTACAGGAATCCTAGCTGGAAGCAGGGCCATAGGAATGTATGTATTCCTGTATGTTGATCCCACAACAGCATCTTTAGGATGTGCTGAACATATTCCTGGTACGGCATAGCTGATCCACACATTCACTGGATGAGACACATCTAAAATATACAGAATTTCCTAGATCTGAGCAGTTCATGAAGAATGAGACCCTTTCTGTGTTTGTGGCAGAGTTATTTCATGAATGTACAAGAGATGTATACAAGAAATATAAACACAATGCACTCCAGCTCTACTGCTGGTAAAACAGGTGAGCTGTGCATCTAACTATGCCCCTGTTTCTCAATTTCACTAACTTGATGGCTTGTCTTTGTGGAGCTTTTCCCTCTCCTCTTCAGCAGCACAAATTGTCTTCCCCGTGCACTGGGAGAAAAGTTTCAGTTACACAGTTACAGCAACACTACTAGTTTTGGTATTAAGTCATAAGTAGAAAGTCAGAGGATTTTTCCTCCCCTCTGCTCACCTTTCAGCTAGCTAACATGGATAGGTAGATAAATAGTTTTCTGTGTTTCTGTATTTCATTTTCTTATGCCGTGCAAATATAATAGCTTATGACTGGTGCTTATTATTGCAGATTTGTCCCAATGTACACAGACAATATTTTTCTTGGAAGTGAAAATGATGAAAGAATTTGAGGAATAATATGCATGTGAATGCATCATTAAAATTACCTGGCTGAAATGACTGAAAGTTTTACTTTATTCTAACTTCTGCATGTTTACAACAGCATAAACTGCAATTTTTACATCAAACACACAGGAAATGTCCATTTAGAATTACTTGAGTTGTGAAGACTATGACCCACAGGTTCAAAATATCCATATCTACAAATTTTTGAACACTTTATTTTGCATAGGCTATGTCACCAGATGGTATTCATTGGAATAACTTTGGTGAAACCAATAAAAAAAGCTGCTATGTGCAAGGTATGGATCTGTCCTTCTGTGTTTAGATATCCTTAACTTCTCCATATCTGAAACATATTTATATTTCCGTCTTTTTTCAGTGTTTAGGTCAGCACCTTAAGTGTAACTCCAGAGCTCTAATAAAAGGTATCACAGCCACATTTGGTTATAATTTACAGTATTTTTCCAAACACTGCAAATGGAAATCTTTGTCCAAGCCCCCTCAAAGATCAAGTTGCATACTGAATAAATTCTCTTAAAGCCCAGATTCAACAAAAATTGCAAGTTTTCATTGTACTATTCTCTAAGCATTGCTAGGTTTTAGTGATCCCTACTGTCATGGTTTAACACCAAGCAGCAGGCAAGCCCCACGCAACCACTCCCTCACTCCCCTACCGGCTGGATGACGGAGAGAATCAGAAGGGGAAAGGCTGGAAAACTCGTGGGTTGAGACAAAGACAGCTTAACAAGGAAAGCAAAAGCAGTGCACAAAAGCAAAGCAAACAAAAGAAGTAATTCAGTACTTCCCACGGGCAGGCAGGGGTTCAGCATTGACAGGAGAGCAGGGCCCCATCACAGGTGACAGTGAGTTGGGAAGACACACACCATCACTCCAAATGCCTGTCCACAGTCTCCTTCCCCCCACTTTATGTACTGAGCATGATGCCATATGGTCTGGAATGTTCCTTCTTTGGTCAGTTTGGGTCACCTCTCCTGGCTGTGTCTCCTCCCAGCCTCCCAAGCACCGCCAACTTCCTGACCAGCATGGTGTATAAAAAATCAGAAAAGGTCTTGGCTGTGCGTAAGCCCTGCTCCGGAATAACATAAATAACTCTGTGTTATCAACTCTTGTGTTCAGCACAAATCCAATACACAGCACCATACCAGTCACTGTGAAGAAAGTTAACTCCACTTCAGCCAAAACCAGCACACCTACCCCAGAGTTTGGAACATTGTATTCAATTAATTATCATAACTAAAATATTGGAACGGCATCTAAAATAGTGCTGCTTTGGTATTAAGTTACCTTTCCTACTGTATTGTTATGTTCTTTCCCACTGAACACATCATGTACCAAAGGACACTGGAGGTTTAAGTTGTTGCTATTGCTTATCACAGTTCATGTCAGATGACTTTGCAACTAAAAGTTTCAAATTCTCATCTCCTCCAGGCTACACATGTAGCTGTTTCTGCCTATCTTCAGATATGTAATCTAATTTTAATTAAACCTTGCTTGGTTATAGGGAGATGTGCCTAACCCTCCAACAACATATGGTTCATATCCTGCATTCCCTCCTGTACCACTTAATGTTTTCAAGATTGTGCTACATGGGAAACTATTAATATCTATGGTTAAGAATCAGAGTTACAATAAAACTGTAACATATTTTGAAGGACTAGTAGCACTGCTGGCTTACACTAAGTAAAATAAATTCATAACGCCTATGAGGTCTCCAAACGTGTAGAGCTTATAAATTTAAAAAATTGAAGACAGATGGACTTGCTTATCATATTTTGAATATTTTGCAAGAGCTGTGGTTACATCCAAAATGCACAGAGTGTTCTCCAAGAAAGATGATGGGAGAACCTGAAAAGTTTTTTTGGTAACTCTTGGTTGGCAGCTGAAATGTGAGATCTCTGAACAAACCTCCTCTTAGAGGTGGTCTGAATCTCATTAGCTGCTCACTTTTAAACACTTTATTAATGCATTTCCTGTAAAAACACATCTGTATATGTTCCTTGTTCATCCTGTTGGACTGTTTCTCCAGGAAAATTATGTACCCTAGGCATGATGTACTGGCCAGCACCTCACCAGTGTGGTGGTGCCTGGACATCTCCCACTTCCCAAAGGAAACAGGAGTGACAAATTCTGATTGGAATGAAGAATTCAAATATCCTAATACAAATACCCTAATTGCATAATTTACTCTATAGTACTTTGACATCTAGACTTCCTTTCTGTGCAGAGTCAGCTGGAAGCTTATTTGCTTTATGACTCTTAGTGTGGTTTGAAAGGAAGGAAAATTATAAAAAGAAAACAAAAAACACCCCTTGGGTTAGTTCCAAGACTATTTAATTTCAACTTCCTACCAGTAACCATTATGGTCTCTAGGGAAAGTTGCACAAAATTACTAGTAAGGGGAAAAAACGATGGTCTTCTGGCCTCAGCACTGGTCAGAGTTAAGCAGCTTTGCAATAGATTCCTAGTGTGACAACACAAATCTTTTCAGATTACAGGGCCTCATTTATTTCCCTGATATCCTGTCAAGAAAGGAACATATGTATGTCCCTAAAATACCACCTAAAATATTTTCTTAGTAATAAATTTGGATAGCAATATTTCTGGAATATGGGCTATTTCTGCAATATAATTCAGTGTTTCACATTAGTGCAGATTTATTCTGCAAATTTCAACACAGTTTTTCTAATAAGGAAGAATTGGGACAGAGTTGCAAGCTCTTTCTCAGTTTCTGTTTGTTCTGACAGCAGGAGCACCACGGAGAGCCGCAGCTTGCTAAAACCAAGATGAGCTGCAAGCCTCTGAACTTGGCAAACCATAGGCAGCATTCCATCTGTGCAGCTGAGGAATCGGGTCAGCCACCAGGCTAAGTGGGAAGATAGGAGGAGAAAGGGTAGCATGGCAGCCCTGCTTTTAGAGTGGAACAGTGGATGTCTGGTTCGCCTTGTCCTGGAGATGCTGTGTGAGATACCCAAACAGCCTTCTGCAGACACAGGCATACTCTGTGCCCATACTCCTGCTCTGCTGCCACAGCCTAGCAGCAGGAAGGTGTTTGAAGTAGGTTGAAAGCACTGCCTTGATGCTACACCTCCATGACTCCTGGTTTACTGAGCATGACGATAGCTCCCACTCTCTTACTGCAGAAGATGTCTCTGTGAGACTGCAAATACAATTGAATCTTCCCTCAGGGTATTTCATGGTCTCTGTAGGCATGAATAGGTACAGGCCTGTTTGATTCAACTTTCTGTGAAGATGCACAGCACTTCGGGGCTTAACACAGTAGCGTATAACATATTCTACAGCTGCTCTTTGAATAAGATTTGTGAAACACTACACCATAAACAAATATTTATTGAAGTAGAAAATGTAATCACCATAATATTGATATATGGCTGAACTTGTCAAAGGATTCCAGTTGAGAATTTCAATATGACTCCTCTTTCATTTCAGATGACTATGTGTTACAGAATGAACCAAGACAGAGCAGATCAGACCAAATAATAGGTTTACCCCATCAAAAGAGAAATTTTACCAGAGAACCATTGTCCAGAACAACTGTTTTTACAGGGGACTGGTTGTCACTCAAAGCTGTAAACCTCTGAATCTGGGCTAGAAAAGCAAGGCTCCCTTTGAGTACATAATCAATTACAGAATGAATTATGGATGGGTAGAGTCCAATAAAATGAAGTTTAATAAGTCCAAATGACCAGTCCTGCATTTTGGCCACAATAACCCCCTGCAGCGTGATAGCCTGGGGACGGTGTGGCTGGACAGTGCCCAGGGGAAAGGGGGGTGCTGGTGACAGCCGGCTGAACATGAGCCAGCAGTGTGCCCAGGTGGCCAAGAAGGCCAATGGCATCCTGGCCTGGATCAGGAACAGTGTGGCCAGCAGGAGCAGGGAGGTCATCCTTCCCATGTCCTCGGCACTGGTGAGGCCACACCTTGAGTGCTGTGTCCAGCTCTGGGCCCTCAGTTTGGGAAGGACCTTGAGATGCTTGAGTGCATCCAGGGGAGGGCAACAAGGCTGGAGAGGGGTTTGGAACACAAACCCTATGAAGAACAACTGAGGGAGCTGGGGTGGCTCAGCCTGGAGAAAAGGAGACTCAGGGGTGACCTTGTCACTCACTACAACTCCCTGAAGGGTGGCTGTGGTCAGGTGGGGTTGGTCACTTCTCCAGGCAGCAGCTGACAGAATGAGAGGTCACAGTCTCAAGCTGCACCAAGGGAAATATAAATTGGATATTAGGAATTTTTTTTTTTTACAGAAGGAGTGATAAAATAGTGGAATGGTCTGCCCAGGGAGGTGGTGGAATCACCACCCCTGTATGTGTTTAAAAAAGGTTGGATGTGGCACTCGGTGCCATGGTTTAGTTGAGGTGCTAGGGCATGGGTTGGACTTGATGATCTTCAAGGTCTCTTCCAACCTTGTGATTCTGTTATTCTGTGATGTGCCAACTCCTCTGGTGAAACATTATGTCCATAAAATTCAGAAATACAAGGTCAATTATGTTTCATTTGATGGCCTCACTACACACAAATTTTCTTACCGGGGTGGGCTGGCAGACAACCAAGCTTCCAAAACCATACCAGACAAAGCCAGTCCTTGTCTTCCTTTCTCCACTACAACTGAATTTCAGGAAAAACACAAAGCTTGACTACAGCCTTCTGTATTCACCAGAAAACCTGTTGTATATCTTCTGCTTCTGGAGAAAATGGACCTTCACACCACTGCTTGGACACATTTGAAGCACCCAAATGAAAAGCCAGCCAAGATGTGTCAACCTTTGGCCTAGTTTAATAAAATTACTGAGCCATTTAATAGCTCTTCTATAGTGAAGGAAGACTATAAGCCTTGGCTACGAAATAGACTAATACCTATCACTCATGCTCCATACTTTCCCAGCAGAACCAATAGATTTCTTGGCTACATTTTGGACCCATCATGGGCCTCGTTCTCACAGGTATGTAAACCCATAAACCTGTCTGGTCAGGCCCAAAGCATCACACTCTCCTAGATGCTAAAACAACCTACACTGCCAGTTACACACCAAAGGGCTTTGTTAGATGCCTGGCCCCTTACAAAGACCCACCCCAGTTACATCTTTGAGAAAACTGATGCTGACAGCTTGATTTTGTTTGGTACATTCTTTTAAACCAGTTGCTAGTTTCATATTTGGAGAACTCTTAAAATAAACTTAATTCCCTGGCACTGGCTTTTTCTGGTTAATTTATGCAAGTGAAGAACATAAAATCCAGGGAAAAGACATATTGGTTTTTGTTTATTGGTATTTTTTTTAGTTTTACCACCTAACTCTTGCTTATTAATAGAGAGTTCCTCCTCCTGAGACAGTAATAGAAGAATCTCTCAGTAATAAACTTTATTATTGATATAAAGGGGGTTCAGCTATGTCCATAAAAACAGAGGTAAAACAGGTGAATTGCATGATATGAAGTCACATGTAAAAGTCTTTGCCGGATAACAAAATCTGAGATCTGGCCTTTTCTAGTATTCCCATCAAAGACACACAAAAGGTACAATTTATACACTGTATGTATATTATTGAATATTGCACCTTCATGAATTGTGTCACTGTGCTGTCCTGAACTAGGCTATCAGATGGGAGGTTTTTGTGCCAAAGATGCCACCCTAGGCTGACGCTTCATAAGAGAACTTTTTCAGTAAAAGCTCTTCCCTTCAGGTTCTCGATGGGCACCAGAAACATCAAAGAGTTGAAATTGTCACATATTGCTACAGCTCAGCCAGCAGCTAGAGTTCCATTATGTTTTGAATAAGGCCATTATTAAGCTTCTCAACCTAACTGCTCATTTCTTTGTCCAAAATGCTTTCTGTAGGCTTACAAGTGTTCTATTAGCACTATGAAACTTCCTGACTTCTTAAGCACATTCTACTTTCCTAAATCCTCCTCTCCCTTACTTCTGGCAGCTCAGGCTGTTTCCTGGGTATTTAGCTCAAGTGCTAGCTAAAGTTGTTGCATGGTTGATGATTCTTGTGGGTCCCTTCCAACTCAGGGTATTCTATTTATATATGATTCTATGATTCTGTGAAAGGCTTGTGTTTGACCATCAAAGCAGCATTTAAAAAGGAAGATAATTTTCTGTGCAAAGGTACTTTAAAACTTTGGAAAACCTTTGAAACCTGTTGGGATAGAAATTCTTCCTAAGCGCTGGCAAGTTAAAGCCAAACACATTCCATCTGAAAACAGGAATGCTTAACCCTGAAGGTGGGAAACCACTGGAACAATACCTTAGGGGCACAGTGGTTCTGCTTCACTTGGAGTCCTTGAATCAGACCTAGAGGCCTTTTCTAAACATATGTCCTCGTTCAATGAAAAATTATGTTCCTTACAATAGGAAAAACTAGGCAAATCTCTACAGATTGCACTGTACAAAAGGACCAAACTATGCAGTCATTGATGATTTCACACAGCTTTCAGAAATGCAGTAATATGTAAAATATTCACTCACCTGTGGTGAGGTATTGACCTAGAGTATGTTTGGCCCTTTTTTTTCAGCTCCTCCTATTTTACCAACCTCTTCATTTCTTTAATATTGAATTTCTACAAGAAAATACTTTTTCTTCCCCATCTCTTTTACATTAGTTGTTTTTCTGATTTTATTTACCAACCTGTAATTCTGCCAATTCTGAAAGAGAATTTTTATGAAAAAAACAGCTGAGGCTTGTGACTGCAGAAAAGATTGTTCTTTTATGCATAAGAGTTCTGCAACTGTTCTTTCAGCTCTGATATGTGACTGGCAGAGAACACAGAGCAAGGACAGTCTAGTGGGTAAATTTCTCTTTATCACAGGTTTGTGTGGTTCTTTTTTGCTGGTGGAAATTAGTCTTATCAAGCTCAATAGCAATGCAGTATGCCACTTAGCACTAGAAATTGCTGGATTTTGAACATTAACAATGGGAATCTTGATTTTCCATGCAGTGGACCAGCTCACACCTGCATCAAGCAGACCTGACTGGTTTAAATCCAACACTTCCAGAACATGAAACTCAGGCTTGGGTTTTGGTTTTTTTTTTTTTTTCTGTTTTGTATCCCTATGTGTTAAAAACTTATTAAAACCAATATATGATAACACCACAGAAAAAAGTGATTTCTGTTTTGTGACTTAAGGTGTGGTTCCTTAAGTTAAGGCCAACTAAACCTTGGGCTGCTGCAGTTTCACATTTTGTTCTCCTACAGCTGCATGGTTTCCCATTGTCCCTCTTTTGATAATAACATTAATGCTGTTTGACTGCATGATGGGCTAAATCAGAAGGTTTACCTGTCTGGGTGAAAATCAGTATTTTAGTAAGATTAAAACCCATTTATTTAATTTCCTTGAATGAGTGCATGACACAGACATGCAGTTATCAACTTAGGTACAGATGGTCAGTGAAGAATCACATGGATCTGGTAGCCCAGACTTGACTTGGCAGTCCTCCCTTTGCTCAGTAGTGCATTTAAAGTAAAGCAATATTTTCTACATCTAAAGTTTAACTTTGTTTGAATTAGGCAGTGACATTAGAAAATCAGCATAAGAGAAATACAGAAAATTATATAATTATACTTTGGGATAGAATTGAGATGTTTAACAGAGAAAATAACGCTGGACTGCTCTAGAGTACACAGGATTTGGATGCAGAATGAGTTCATGGATAAAGATGAGGAGAAGTTAATTTTACCTGATTTCATGCCAATTAAATTTAATTTTTTCTTAGTCATCACATTCTCAGAAAGAGGGAAGTACAAGTCAGACACCCCGAGAAAGAGCTTAAAATGTCACTGAACTGCACTACAGGTTTGTGTAATTGCTTTTGAAGCTACATAGTGGAGGAGGAGGAGGAGAATGAATTTACCTGCATGCATGGCAGCACCTAGCAGGTGCTTGTGCTAGGTAAGCAAGCACTTGTTCAGAAACCTCTCAGTGGTCTGTAGTGATCTTGCCTGTTTTAAGGGAGAATAGGGAGCTAAAAAAGACTCCCTGCCTTTGGCCCAACTTCTAGTGATAAAAGCAGCCTTGATGGATGTCAACTGGACCCAGCCCCTAGGGAAGTGTGTTGCCTTCCTGGGGCCAAAATAAGAAACACCCCAAGAAACTTCCCATGCTGGTATGGCCAGTTGATTATCACCTGCTGCTGGCATTCCAGGTGAGTACTGATGACATCCCAATAAGGCAGCTGTGGATGGTCAAGAGTGACCTCAGGGCCTTGGGATAACTGGTCAAGGGATCTGGAGCACAAGCGGTGTTCTCTTCTGTCCTTCCAGTTGCAGGGAATGATGTGCAAAACCCAGGAATATCCCACAGAGGAACACATGGCGGAAGGAAGGAAGGAAGGAAGGAAGGAAGGAAGGAAGGAAGGAAGGAAGGAAGGAAGGAAGGCTTTCCTTTGGTTTGGATTGGGTTAGGAAACACCTAGGCAAACCTGACATCCACAAATCCATGGGTCCTAAGAAGATGCATCCAGAAACACTGAGAGACCTAGCAGATACCATAGTTGGGTTGCTTATGGTCATCTTTGAAACATCATGGAGGATCAGGAGGGGTGCCTGAGGACTGGAAAAAAGCAAATGTCACCTCTGAGGTCTCTACCAACCTGACCCATCCTGTGGTTCTGTGACTTTGCACTCATGATGCAGCACAATGCAACACTTCTCACTCCGTGAACTAATGGGGGGAAAGAAGGAAACGGCTGTAGTCAACATCCTACTTTTGAAGAATGGATAATGACATCAATATCTAAACATTGGCTGAAGTACAAAGCCTACTATCAAAAAGTGTTTCAAAGACCAAAATGAAAGGATGAAACAAAGGAACTTTGTCCTTGAAAAAGGCATCCAGGGTACTTACACCATGAAGCATGCAAAAATTAATAAGCAGGATTGTGCTAAGTAATAATGGATGAAAAACATCACTGTCAAAGTCAGTTACTACACTGTGACTGTAGTCAATGACAAATGTCACGTATGCACAGGAACAGTTTCGTGTATGTACACTGCAGAGCCTGCTTGGAGGGATAGCTTCTACCTGCATTCCTGAAAATACATAAGAGGTGTACTCACCAGCACTACTCATCTCCAGTCAAAGCACAATCTGTTTGGCAAGCCTTAAGCACAAAAGCTGAATTAAGGAGACGTGCAAATTAAATTTTAGAAGTGTAGCAGCTTAATAGAAGGTTATGAACATTTTCATAGCCAGGAGGAAGGTAACACTACTGTTCCTCTTTGGGAAAAAGCTGAGCAATATTATTTAATTTGTCTGTTCTCAGTGAGAAACAAAATGAAAAAACCCCAGAAGTTACCTGTAATAATGGGGGAGATAAATAATAATTCACTTTTGACTTGTATTATATCAGCCTTTCAACTACCTGTGTCTGCAAGGACTACCAACCCCAGTGCCTTACATCTGCAGGAGGCTTTTCATCTGGAGTTTTGCAGTTGGCAATAGTTAAGAGCCAAAAAAATATCAGTAAATTATGTACTTACAGTCTAGAAATAAGAACCAGCAGCAAATTTAAGAAAACTTTAACATAAATTCTAAAAAGGGCTTTGCCCGACACTATAGATTATTAAGAGAGTAAATTGTCAGCACCTCAAGTGTTTCAGGACTTGAAAGATAAGTGGTACGCTTCAGCAAGAACTGAGTGTGTTCATATCACAGAGGGAAGCAATATCTTGGGCATGGTATTTGGGAGACAGGAAGCAGCTGAATTTAATGTATGAAAAAGCAAACCTTTTCTCTGAAAGACAAAAAAAAGATCTTTCCTGAGGCATGGATATGATCTCCCTGAGGGATCTGTGTTATCTCAGCTGGAAAAAGGCATTTAGGCAGAGAACTGAGTTCACTGGGATGGAAACTTCCATAATGAATATTCTGAACAGAGTTCACTTTTGGCTGATCCCTCTAAAAATCAGTCTTCTCCCTTCTGTAGTAATGTTTCTCTGCCTCCTTTCCTCTTTGGAAGCAGTGGTTTGATGACCTGCGCTCCTCTTCTGGTCTTTTGGGGAAATACTGCTTTGGGGCAATAGGGTTTTCACTTCTCTATGTGGTTGCATGTCTGTCCCACAGAGGTTTTTGTCTGCATTCAGAAGAGAAGGAATGGAGTAGCTGTAAAAATGCTGTGCATTCCCTGTTTCCACTA